CATAATATCCCTCAGCTGCAGATGTCTGTCCTTAAACTGCCTGATACTTGGTACTGCAGCAGCCTGCTTATAGGCAGAAAATACTAAAAGATTGTCTTCTCTTTTTGTGGTGTGAATATGTGCCTTTGAGTTAGAAATACCATTAAGTGGACATTAGTGTGCTCTCCCTGCATCCCCCCCGCACATATGGTAACCCATCATCCTCAATCTCCTCAGGATTTTTTCATCAAACAGCTCCAGCGTGGTAGAAATCAAACAGACCCTTAAATTTGTCTATGAAAATACTAAATGAGGAAAACATGTTACATGTTTATTCTTGTTTATCATATTCAAAATATAACTTCTGTAGTCATATGCATCTACTCAAATACAGTTCAACTGTGTGAGTATTTATGGATTTGTGTAGTGATTTTGCTAGGAAAGTTTTGCTTTGAGTCAGAAGCAGGTACTAACTATAACCACAGACATGAGCATCAACAAGCAATAAATACAGAATGTAAAGGATCATATACCTCCCAAAGTGAGTGCAGACTGAAAAGAGATTATTGTAAGACTGAGCTTAGCTCTTATTCTCCAGTTTGCATGTAGTCTATGCATATTCAAGGCTGTGGAAGACGCTCATGATGTTGCAGTTCTACCTTATACATAGAGTTGTGCACCATATGGCACTATTTACGGTATTTTTATGAAAGGTGCTAGTCTTCCAAGTGCTGTCTTACTTGCCACTTTCATAGTGACCAGATTTCTTTTTACCCTCCTACGTTTGTCTCTTCATAACTAATTATAATCAGAACTGAGGGCAAGAGATTTCAGAGAGAGTTTGACTAGGATTTGCCTTGTTGATGATGAAAGCAGAGTCAGGAAAGTAAAAATTCAAACTAGACAGTGCTGGAAAAGTGTTGGAATGGGGTGGCTTAGTGAGGAATGAGCACTCTCCAGGTTTGTTAGATCCATCTCTGCCATTTCTTGCTTGTAAACTACTGCCACTGCAAGTTAAAAAAACCTGAAACATCGTGGAACACTTCACTGTTGTACAGCGCAGAAGTTTACACGACTACAGAACCAATTCTCAAAAACAGGCTGAGCAAGTGGCGAACTTTACCAGCGGAACTGCAGAACAGGACTGGCACAAGCCTGTGTAGCAGACTTGGTCGCCACAGGAAAAGGGAATTACCTGAAGGATTAGTTTTCCTGAGCTGACTTGCTGTCATTTTGCCAATTCTATTCTGTTGGGCTGCTGTATTAATTCCTCTGGGTTGCTGGCATATGTTAGCCCTGTACCACAAAGCCTGTGCTGCTCATCTTCCTCGATGAACATCTTTGCAATGCATTTGGCTGTTAGTGTCTCTATGGAATGGGATCCCGACAACATAAAAACGTTATTAACCTGGTTATTCTAAATGGGAGTTGGCTAAAGATGCGGAAGCGTTTGCACAGCTGAGCCAGACACCCGCGAGCAGCTGGAAGAGCCCGAGCCTTAATGATTGCACTGGGGCCAGCAGGGCAGCAGCAGCAGCAAGAACTGACCCCAGGAATCGACCACGCTGGAAAGCGGCTCCTGTCGAAAATTGTCACCAACTCCCGCGTTTAGAAGCTGCGTCCCAAGCTTGCTGACGGTGCAGTTCCTGAATTTCTGCATGGACTTAACGGGATGGGGAACACAAAGCCGTGTGCCAACTGGGAAGAGTTTTTTCCTTGTCTACCTCGAGTGGTGTGGTGATATGCTGCTTTTGGAGGTGGTTTTGCGCTCTATAAATGCTTTCATTTTAATTTAGTATAAGAAACATGGCTTCTGTGTTAATTAGAAATAATTATTTTCACTTAAAATACAGTTGAGTAGTACAGTAATGTTAAAAGGTTAAATACTGATTACTTTGGTGTTGATGCAGAGTGAGAACCTTGCACTGACAGGTATCCTTCTTCCTTTGGCAGGATTCGGACACTGATCGGTGAAGGCTACGAAGACAGGATTTTGATTGCTCATGACGTGCACACTAAGCACAGGCTGATGAAATATGGTGGTCATGGATATTCTCATATCCTTAAAAATATAGTTCCTAAGATGCTAGTTAGAGGCATATCCCAAAGTCAAATTGATAAAATACTCCTAGAAAATCCAAAACGATGGTTGACATTTAAGGAGCGATAAGGAATAAATATTTCTAATTTTTGATGAAGCTTGGTAAAATTTGTATTTGTTTCAGGAGAGCAGTCATTTTAAAACTTGGTTCTCTTGTGATAAACTATGAGATACTAGTAAGATAACAACAAACTGATCATGACTTCCTTTTCTAATAGCACAACAAAATTACATATTCTGTCTATGTTTTCTCCCTTTTAAAAATCTGTTCCTGGGTGAATTACTGGATATGAGCCCACCTGCAAAATCTTTTCAATGGAATTAGTAAAATAACTGTTTCCAAAGAGTAATCTAATTCTGTTGTTATATGTTATCCAAAAATATTTTCGAAGATGCATCATCTGTGCTTTGGAGGAAATATAATGTTTTCAGTTAAATTCTCCCCCTTCTGGTGATGATTTTAATCCTTGTACTATTGCTAATCTGCTAATCATGTTCATGTCCTTTTAAGTAATGTTTAATAAAAGTATGGCACTTTTAATAGCTTCCAAAGACAACAGAAGATAACAAAAAAAATCAAATAATTGTAAAGAGATTTTTTCTATACAATTTGCATATTTTTAAATGAAAATATAAAAAATATATGGAAGAATATATTTTTGAATAAAGCAATTTGTAAACCTCTTAAACTGTGTTGTTACAGATGTCTTATTTTTAATCATATTTTTTTATATTCAATTTTTGGACCTTGGCAGTGATGATGTGAAGTTTCGTGAAGGATAGCTTTTTTTTTTTTTTTTGTAAGGATGCAACACCAAAAGTCAAAATATATTACATAATACAGTTTTAATGAGTTGCTATAGTTATAACAAAGGTTGTGATATAAGTCTTTACAAATCAGTGTATCAAGATATGATGAAAGGAAGAAATGTTTGCCTTATATGTGATTTTCACATAATATTTGCTCTTTCCTCTTGTCTAACATTAATCAGGGCAAGTGATTTATCCAAATAAAAGGTCTTACTCAGGAGTCCGGTCGCAAAAGCTTCCTCAAAGTTGACCTTACATGTCTTGTAGTGATGAGCTTTTCCGATAAACACCTTAGTAAATATGCACTGCTCGTTGCAAATGATCTCTAGCTTGATACGTTGCTGCTTTATACCACATAGAACATCTCCAGCTGCCCTGCTGGGAGTGCACTAACCTTCAGAAGCAACTAGGGGATGAAAAGACATGAAGTCAGTTACACATCCGTTATTAAAATACGTTACGTAGTAAAAAAAAAGCAGGAGTAACCACTACCATGTATGGATTTAGGTTGGCACTCTGTCATAGAGTAGAAACGTAACCAGTTTGGTGACATAACACAAGCAGTTTGAAGCACAGTGTCCCTTTGTAGGCTCTAGATGAGCTAGACTAGCTGTCCTCTTGGTGTGCGTAGACTAACTGGGCATGTATTTTAAACTGGACAACTATCCAGAAACAGAGAGAGTAATGTGTTCTGTTTAAGAAAAGCTTTGCTCATTTAAACAAGATATTTTTTTTTAGAGAGAGCCTTAAAATCTTCACCAAACTGAAGCAGTCAGCGCAGAACTTTCTTTCTGTCACGATGGCAGACACTCTTGACATTTTAACGCAGATAAATCTGAGTTTGTACCCTTTGCTTAGTAGATGATTAGACAAAGGTGCTTCTGGCAAATTACATGAAATAATAGAAATGCCTGGGGTAGCATCTCTTTAACAGCTTATACAAATATTACCTTGATTTTGCCAAAATGTTCAAAATAAATAACATAACCAACTATGCTGAGAAGCTACTTAATTATCTTGCTAGTATTTTGTTTTGGAATTAAGCCTGCAAGTTTTAACCTGAGAGAAATAGATAGCCTCTCCTCTTCAACAGAAAACAAATAATAATTCTTTTTCAGAATATAAATATCCTGCGGATATTAATTCTATGACTGTTTTTAAATCAGTTTTATAACTATGTAACTCATATTACCTGTCTTTAGTTTAATTCTCGAAGTCATTAATCCCTTATTTGGATTAAGCTTCCTTGAGACTTTATATATATATCTATCTATATATATATAAAATATGTTTATATATGAATGAGAAAAATAGGCTTTAATGCACACTTTTTTGCATTTTAGTATCTGCTTCTTTGTTTGCATATGTGTTATCATTTTTGGTAATATGCTTGTCTAATGTCCATCTCATAGGCACACCTTACTGCAACTGATAATAAGCTACCATGGAAAAAGTCTGTGTGACAGCATCTTCTCCGGTGTCAAATCTCCCATTCTTCCTCTGTAGGAATATTCCCTCTAACTTCCGTGAGACAAGACCCTGAAAGTGAATAAGGTTTTGAGTCGTTATATTAATATGAAATTCTAGTTGAACATCTGCAGTGTGTTAAGTCATAACTATTTTATTAAAAATAGTATCCAAGTACAGACTAAGAACTAATTGAAGACTGATTGCTGCGAAGAAAACATTCTAACTTGGTCTGAGGCTACACGTTAGGCTTGCTAAATATTTACACAATAAACCATCGAGAACGGGCCTGAAAAATTGTCTAAATATATATTTACACGTGTTTACATATTAAGAGCCAAATCTTGTTTCCACTAAAATCAGTGGGACACTTGCCATTGGCTTCAGTGGAATCAGGGATCTGGTCCAATAAAATAGTTTGTCAAACGATACATTTTTCAGAAAAAAAAAAGTGTTTCTTCTACCCTTCTTTTTCTTTTAGAACACAACTAAGGGGAAGACACGATAAACAACTTCAGTTGTTTGATTTTATGTTGAACATCTAACATAAACCTACAAAGCAGGAACACCGAGTTAAGGCTTGAAGCTGATTAGTTTCTAGTTTGAAGTGGAAGGATAAGAAAAGTACAAGGCAAACAACTCCTTTGGAGAGAGAAAGAGAGAGTGTGTATTTTGATTACCTCTTCCCTTTATTGTGAAATCATTCCTCACCACACGGAGTGGACTCCAAGCATCATTGTTAGCAAGTAAGTCACAAGAACCAAAGCTGATGTATGGATAAAGCAGCAAGATCATAACACATTGAAGTATCATATACACTGAAGAAATAACTCAGTGTCTTTAGGTTTGTTTGTTTTTTTTTCCTATAAAAATTTGATCTATGTAGGACTTCATTCACATGGACACTAACAATAAAGAAGTATTTGCTTTGGCGGTAGTGGATCACACATCTGTTTAACTTTGTAATTTTCTTAAGGTTTCTCTGTGCTGTACAGATGTGAATCAGGTAGCATTTGATTTTTCCCCGCTACTGAGGTGTTCTGTGGTTGATCTCCGCTGGGGTGCTTGATTCATTGACTTCTGCCACGCAAATCCATTTCCTAGAAGAGCTTCATTTTTGGGTTGGTTTGGTGGGTCTTTTTACTCATTATCAGTCAGCATAAATAATAAATCCAGAAAATGTGCTGTACTTATTGTTGTTTCCTCCATGTGCTTTTCCGCCATCTAATTTAATGTAAACTTCATCTCCTGGCTCCAGATGAAGAACCACACTGTTACTGGCATAGTCGTAGTTCTGATCAGCATCCTGCGCGATGGCACTAGCTCGAACCTACATAAAATACATAACGAGTGGTTAGGAAAGTTCGGGTAGTCTGTGCCACGTGGTGAAAGTAAAGCTTATCCTCAGTGCTCTATTCAGCATGCAGTGGTTGCCACAACATACACTGTAGGGGTGGTTATGTGGATATTGCTTATTTTCTTCTACAATGCTACATTTGAATTTGAAGCTGTAACCTGCCCATTTCTCAGTCACCTGATTAATACAACGCTGCTTGCAGTCCTATAAATGTTGTGAGCCTCCTTTTTCTTTAGCATATATGTAATATAGCTAGAGTTCTGTAGATTGAATCTTCACTGTGCAAGTTTTGCATTGCAATAATGTTTTAGGGGAACAACTGCCTGACAGGGATGAGGATCCACAGTGAGGATCTATTGATACCAGTCTGGGTATTTTCCAGAAGTGATATATTATCATTCTACTAATAGGTTAAAAGAAAGAATTAAAAGAAAAAATTGAAAGAATTAAAAGAAAATACCTACATATACATACATACACTCACATAAAAACAATGCACCTACGAGCACATAAGGAGTCTAGTCCATGCTTAGCAAGACCGCTATTGCCACATTTCATTAAGTAAATATTTAATGTCTGTGTATTGCAAAAGATGCACTTTCTAAAAATCACAGCTAAGTAATTATTTCAAGAGGTTATAGAATTTACAAATAACTGAGGACTTTAATTGTATTCATAACTCTCACTTAAACATGTTTTTTTTTAATTCTCTTTCTCAATTGCCATTTCACTGCTTACTCAATCTGACATGAACAGCAAACTGAAAGAAATGTGTAATTTCAAGCTGCAAGTTGGTTTCCAGGTGTTTACAGTATGGGCACTTTAAGTCTCCATTTATATATAATTTCACCCTATTTGGTCAAGTATTTAATCTTATTTGTATGTGATTTATTTGGGTCTAACACATCATCTGCTTGTTGCCTGTCTTTGTTCTAGCATAGTTATACAGGGCAATAAGTGATTTAGGGGTTTTGCAAACGTGAACAAAGTAATAATGCATGACTTGGCATACTGTATTTTGGATTTTATCTGTTCAGAATTGAAAAAAGGGGGGGGCTATAAGTCACAAAATTCCACAGATTCCTTTCAAAGTTTAAATGATAAATTTCCCTATTAAATTTTCATGTTTCTATGCTCTCACATTAATATTGAAATGTTAAAAAGGAGAGGGATCTTTACCATGCAAAGTCTTACAGGATTATGTAGCTGGAAAAAAATCACAGTAGGTGGAAATTTTTTGTACATCCCATAGGAAGAATGAGAAGAGCTCAAAAGATGTGCAGTGGTTTGACAGTGTGCAATGTGAACAGATGCACTGCATGAGGATGCACCACAACTATTCTGGGACTCCTTGATCCTAATGCTCCGTACTCTTTACAGAGATGATCTGCTTTGCTGCTGTTTAAGCAATACTTATTCCGAGCACAGGGTATTTCCTCTGAACTAATGACTAGCCGGGGTGAGATTAAAGGCCTTGGAACGTTAACCCTAGGAAATACCCTCCAAAGAAAATGACATGGGCTGAGAGCAAAAAGGTTAATTCGCGAGGTAGAAAAATGTTCCTGTGAGTAATATCTTGCATGTCAGCAAACCAAAAGGCTTAAATTATTTTCCAAATTTCCACAATTAAATGCTACTTAGTGGATTAATCTATTTTATTATTATTATTATTCCTGTGGATAGTAAAGGAGAATTCAAATTGTGTTAGTGATTTTAACTGTGTATCTTATCATCTGGATGTCAGCACATGCACACTGAACATAACAAGGGACATTTCATGTTTAAGTGTCCAGACAGGGCTTACTGCCAGAAAAAAAAATAAAGGAATCACTGGAATACTGAAAGACTAGAAACTGAAATGTGAACATTACTGTCTTGTACATAGTGACAAATGCCCTGTGAACTTCAGCATAATTTATATGGTTTTTACCTCTTTTCTTTAGTTACCTGTTGTGATTGTTTTCTAAAGCCCATGACTGCAGCCTCTAATGAATGCTCAGTGTGCTGCTGCAAAAGTGATGTATCCCAAAATTAAACCATTAGAGGAGTTTAACATTGCTTAGGTTGCATGCCCGCTCGCCTCATCATTTTATACAGGCATGTTGGGACATCCGGACCTCAAATCCACATCCTAGCTAAGCTGTGTGATCCCAGCCCTCCTCTGCTCTGTGTTGCAGAAAGCAGCGTGCTACACTGGAGACCTTGGCATTCCTCACACACGTTGCTTAGGGATCTTTTCTTCTATAAATCTTGCATTTCTCAATTGTCTGTTTTCTCATTGTTAGAGAACACTGAATGCATGACCTTATTGTGGTCTGAATCTACTTAACAAATTAATTTCAATATAATAACTTGTATACGATTTTTACCAAAAATCATTTATCTTTGCATAAGCATAAACAAATTCTGCATGTCTTAAAAATGTACAAACCTTTTTTTCTTTGAATCACTTGAAGCTGTTTTTGTCTCACGTGTGATACTGGAAGCAGTTATATTTGGGAATGGTTAGACTTCAGGCTCAATTTAATATTTATAATTAGTTACTTTTAAAAATGGTATTACAAGTTACCGGTATTTCATTATTTTCCTGCTTCTGGGGAAATAAACACTTTGCACATTGCCATGACCAAGAACAGGCTAATAACCGCAGATAAGGGCGCATCCTCCCTGCGGACAGCACTGCCGCTACGGGGGGAACCCGAGGCGAATGCGTGACCATGGGCAGGCGGCCCCGTTTCGCCGCTCGTGGCCGGTGCCCCGTTGTCCCCCCGTGCTCCGAACAAAGGGCTGGGTTATTGTGCGGCGAGCCTCCCTCTGCGGGGACGCCCGGGATATCCCGGGACGCCCGGCATGGGGACAGCCGGCCCGGGGGCACCGCCGTTACCTGTTGAGCGCCCAGGGAGCCCCGCGAACTCGGGGGGACGCCAGACAGCGCGGGAGCGGCCGCTTCGTTATTCTGTTCTATCTTTCCTATCGCTCTTGTCTTTCTCACAGCGAGCGCGCTCCGCGGCAGGGCACGAGGGGAGCCGGGCGGCAGCGGCCTCCGAAGAGCCGCGTTCCCC